TACGTAGATTGGGCCGCAGAGGGCAAGGACGGGGCCACTGAGGGTAGCAACGGGGCCACGAAGGGCAGCGAGGGGGCCACGAAGGGCGACAGCAGGGCTACAAGCGCATGCGGATGAGGCCACGACGGGCGCGAGCGAGCGGGGGCCACGAAGAGCATACATATATGGGGCCACGAAGGGCGGCGAGGGGGCCACGAAGGGCTGCAACGGGGCCACGAAGGGCAGCGAGGGGGCCACGAAGGGCGGCCACGGGGCCACGAAGGGCAGCGAGGGGACCAGGAAGGGCTGCAACGGGGCCACAAAGGGCATACAGATATGGAGCCACGAAGGGCTGCAACGGGGCCACGGAGGGCAGCGAGGGGACCACGAAGGACTGCAACGGTGCTAACCAAGGGCAGCGAGAGGCCACGAACGGCTCCAACGGGGCTACGAAGGGCAGCGAGGGGGACAGGCCACGAAGGGCAGCAACGTGGCCACGAATGACAGCGAGGGGACCACGAAGGGCTGCAACGGGCCCACGAAGGGCAGCGGGGGGGCCACGAAAGACTGTACCGGGGCCACGAAGGGCAGCGAGATCCCGATTCTTAAATGATTTGTGAGGGAGTCCTAAGCGTGAGCGCGATTCCTGGGTGCCTGAGTGTCGCGAGCGCGGCGCTTTTGCAAATTCCGGGGACTTCCAACGCGAGAGCGCGATTCTTAAATTGCAAGCAAGTCTCCAGAGAGAGCGCGACTCCTGAGCGTCGAGAGAGCGATTCCTGCATAAATTGCAAGGAAATCCAAAGCGATATCGCGACTCCTGCGTAAAATGCTAGGAAGTCTCAGGCGGGTGCGGGGGTCCTGGCTAATTTGTGAGGAAGTCTTATGCAGAAGCCATTGTTGTTGTAATCTGGGGGCCAACAACCTATTTTGAACCGAGTAATTTTCCATTATAAGACATCCTGGTGCGAGCCCCAGGGGAAGCACTTCAATCGGAAAAGCATTATGGTCACCGGAGGGGGATCAACAATAATTACTCTCCAGTAGTGGGATATCACAACAACAACAACAACCACTACAACTACAACTACAACTACAACAACAACAACAACAACGGCAACAGCAACAACTGCAACAACAACAAACATGTTTAGACGGGTCGCTCTTTTCTGCTCGCGTGCCATTCAACACGTCTATCCCAAACCCTTGATACCCGCCCTCTTCGTCTTCGATCGTACCTCTTTAGGAGTAGATACTTCTTGCCTGCAACGTGTATTTCGTGCAGCCCCTAAGGCAGAGGAAGAGAAGACGAATGGAAGGAAGGGACGAGGGGGAGGTAGGAGGATGGAGCACGAGAGAGAATAGCAGGAGGGGGTGTAGTAGCAGAAAACACGTGGCAGAACCAGACGGGCAGATCGGGCGGGTAGGATAGACCCTAACAGGCGGGTCGGGAAGGCGAGCCCAGGCGGCCAGGTCGAGCAGGCGGGTTGCTGAAACGTGCGTCCTGCATGAATCGTGAGGACGTCTCAAGCGATAGCGCGATTCCCAAATACATCGTGAGGAAATCTACAGCAAGAGCGTGATTCTTGAGTGTCGAGGGCGCGGCGTCTGAATAAATTGCGACGAAGTCCCACGCGAAAGCGCAAGTCGTTTAGACATTGTGAGGACGTCTCGCGCGAGATCGCATTTGGGGAATAATTCGTGAGGAGGTATCAGGCGGGAGCCGCTGTTGTTGTTGTAAACTGGGGGCCAGGGGCACAGTTCAATGACACTTCACTTCCCCTTGTACAAAGCAAGGTGCGAGCCCCACGGGAAGTACTTTAACTAAAAAACAAATGGTTACCGGGCAGGGGGGATCAACAATCATTTGAAAACTGTTCGCTCTTATCTGCTCGAGTGCCCGTCAACACGTATATCCCAAACCCCAGATACCGGCCCTCTTCGTCTTCGATCGTACCACGTTAGGGGTATGTCGTTCTTGCCTGCAACGTGTATTTCGTTTAGCCCATGAGGCAGGGGAAGAGGAGGACGAATGAAAGGAAGGGACAAGGGGGAGGGAGGAGGATGGAGCGCGAGAGAGAGTATCAGGAGGGGGGCCAGGAGCAGAAAGCACGTGGCAGAACCAGACGGGCAGATCGGGCGGGTAGAAACCTTCACGGGCGGATCGGGAAGGCGTGCCCAGGCGGCCAGGTCGAGCAGGCGGCTTGCTGAAGCGTGCGTCCTGCATGAATCGCGAGGACGTCCCGAGCGACAGCGCGATTCCCAAATAAATCGTGAGGAAATCCGCAGCAAGAACCTGCTTCCTGAGTGTCGAGGACGCGGCGTTTGAATCAATTGCAAGGAAGTCCCACGCGAGAGCGCGATTCCTGCATAAATCGTGAGGAAGTCCTACGCGAGAACGCGATTTGGGAATACACGGTGAGGAAGTATCAGGCGGGAACCGCTATTGCTGTAAACTGGGGACCAGGGGCACACTTTGGTGATATTTAACTTCCCCTGACAAGAACAATGCGCGATCCCCAGGAGAAGCATTTCAATTGAAAAAACAAATGGTTACCGGGCAGGGGGGATCAACTATAAGTATTATTCAGCAGTGAAAGTTGAACAACAGCAACAACAACAACAACAACAGCAGAAGCAACAACAACAATACTGCTAAGACTGCTCAAGTTTTATACGCTGACGTGCCATTCAACACGTATATTCCAAAAATTCGATACCCGACCTCTTCGTCTTCGATCGTGCCCCCTTGGGAGTATATCGTTTTTCCTGCAATGTGCATTTCGTGCAGCCCCTGAAGCAGGGGACGAAAGGACAAATGGAAGGAAGGGACAAGGGGGAGGGAGAAGGATGGAGCACGAGAGAGAGTATCAGGAGGGGGACTAGGAGCAGAAAGCACGTGGCAGAACCAGACGGGCAGATCGGGCGGGTAGAAACCTTCACGGGCGGATCGGGAAGGCGTGCCCAGGCGGCCAGGTCGAGCAGGCGGCTTGCTGCTGAAGCGTGCGTCCTGCATGAATCGCGAGGAAGTCCCGAGCGTCAGCGCGATTCCCAAATAAATCGTGAGGAATTCCGCAGCGAGAACCTGACTCCTGAGTGTCAAAGGTGCGGCGTCTGAATAAATTGCAAGGACGTCCCACGCGAGAGCGCGGTCTCCGTATAAATTGTGAGGAAGTCCCACGCAAGAACGCGATTTGGGAATACATGGTGAGGAAGTATCAGGCGTGAGCTGTTGTTGTTCTAGTTCGGGGCCCAACAACCCAGTTTGGTAATACCTCGCTCTCCCTTGTATAAAACAGGGTGCGAGCCCCAGGAGAAGCACTTCAATTGAAAAAACAAATGGTTACCGGGCAGGGGGGGATCAACAACCATTATCCTATGGATGAGAACTCAACAACAACAGCAGCAACACCAACAACAACGACAAAAACCACAATCACAACCAATATCACAACCACAATCACAACCACAACCACCCACAACAACAATCACTACACATGGCAGTATCAATAACAGCAACAACAGCAACAGCAATAGCAACAGCCACAACGATAGCAACAGCAACAACAACAACGGCAACAACTAACAATAGCAGCAACGACAACGACAACAACAACAACAACCACAACGACAACCCCCAACAACAACAACAACAACAACAACAACAACAACAACAACAACAACAACAACAACAACAACAACAACAACAACAACAACAACAACAGCAACAACAACAACAACCACAACAACCACAGCAACCACAAACACAACCACAACAATAGCAAGCATCACAATGATAATAACAACAACGACAACCACAACAACCAACAACAATAACAACAATGACCACGATAACGACAGCAAAGGCAACAACGACAACAACACTAACAACACTAACGTCAACAACAACGGCAGCAGGAGCAAGAACAACATGAACTTTCAGAGATTGGTGCGGAGTTCTTGGATCGGCGCTGGACCCCGGGGCGGCGCTGAAGGCGCCGCCAGGGCGCTCCAGCGCAGAACCAAGGAATCTGCGCGGACACCCGAAAGGGATATTCTAATGCTGCTGTCTATTCGAGCAACGCCGACGCCCTCGCCGACGCGCAGCCGAGTCCCTAGACCAGCGCTCTCCACGACTCGCAAAGGAACTGCTCGCACAAGGCCGCTCTCGTCGAGCCAAGCATGTGTTCTTCGGCCGTTTTCGGCTACAGGCAAGAGTGACCCTGGTTAAGAGTGACCTTTGGTGCGCGGCCTTTGGGGGGCCGCGGGGGGACCAGACATGAGCGCTCAAAACGCTACTGCCTCATCGCGTTCGGGTGCCCGGGGACCCCAGTGGGCCTGCACCAGAGGTCACTCCGGCGAAGGGTCACTCCTGCGTGTGGTCGACGCTTGCGAGTCGGCCCTCTGCGAGCAGTGGAGAACGCACTCGGTCGCGTCCTGGCCAGCGCGTAGGCCAGCATCGACAGCCCCCGGGGCTCCAGGCGCGCCAGGGAGGCGCGGGCGCGCTCCTGCAGCCGGGGCCACGCGCCCCCGCCGCCCTGCGGCGGCAGGGCGCCCCCTGCGACCTTGCCGGCGGGAGGGGCCCGGGCCTCGGGGCGCTCTGTGCTGGGCCCCTCGGAGGGGGCCTCCCGGGGCGGCCTGGAGGTCGTGCTCCTACGTCGGCAGCAGCCCAGGCTCTCCGTTTGGGGGGGGGAGGGTTCTCCACGGCACGCTCCCGCGCCGCTCCCACGCTTCCCTGCTCCGGGCAGGGTCGCCTGGCGCTCGCTGCTGGAAGGGTTGCTGGGGATACGCACCGCGTCAAGCGACCCCGGCCGTGGCGGCGAGGAGCCTCCCGGAGGCCCCACGAGGGCCGAAGGCGTCCAGAAGCACTGGACAAGCGCGCTCCAACAATCGCAAAGCAGCTGCTCGCTTACGATCCACGACATCGAGGCAAGCGCGTGTTTTGTCCGGCGTCTGCGAGCAGGCACTCTGCGAGGAGTGGGACGCGCTCGGTGAGCCCAGAAGCATTAGCACCTCGTGATGACCTTGGGGACCTGTGCGACCGCGACGACGACGTTGCCGGCGTCGAACCGCGGCAGCTCCGCCTCACACGCGCGCGCCCGAGCACCCGGGGGACGCGCGCGCGAGGGGGGAACGGAGGAGAGGGGATGGCGGGAGAGCTCGAGGGGAGGAGGATCTCCCTCAAGGGAGAGGGAGGGGGAGGGAGGAGGAGAGGGATGGAGGGAGATGGAAGGAGAGGGAGGGAGGGAGAGGGGAGGAGGCAAGCCAGGTGTGCCCGCGTCATGTCTGACGTCCTACCCCTCCCTCCCATTCCTTACCATGGCGCAGATCTCCTCTCTATTCGCACAATCGGATGTCGTAGCATGGCACAGCATTGTGTTGAAGATTCACGCGTAGCATGGCATAGCACGGCCCAAAGTGTGGGGGGGGGCCTCCGCGGCCCAAACGATCAACGAATCGGCACTGAATGTGGAATCACTTCCGATGGGTTCTTCGGGAGGCCATTGTCTAAATTTTGGGGCCTATTTGGAAGGACCGAAAACCATGCCGTGGCATGGCGCTGGAAGTAATGACGCCAGCGCTACAGCGGGAGCACGATTCGGAACGAGCGGAGGCGCGGAAATGAGGCCAGCGCTGCAGCGGGAGCACGATTCGAAACGAGCGGTAGCCCGAAAATAGAGCCAGCGCTTCAGCGAGAGCAGCATTTTGAACGAAAGCCCAAGCGCGGAAGCGCGGAAATGAGGACGCGTAGCCTGACATAGTATGGCGTGGCGACGCCCCAAAGTGGGAGGGCTTCTGCGGCCCAAAAATCAACGAATCGACAACGAATGTGGAATTACTTCCGATGGTTCTTGGTGGCCATGTTTTTAATGTTGGGGCCATCTGGAAGGACCGAAAACCATGCCGTGGCATGGCGCTGGAAGTAATGACGCCAGCGCTACAGCGGGAGCACGATTCGGAACGAGCGGAGGCGCGGAAATGAGGCCAGCGCTGCAGCGGGAGAACGATGCGGAACGAGCGGTAGCCCGAAAATAGAGCCAGCGCTTCAGCGAGAGCAGCATTTTGAACGAAAACCCAAGCGCGGAAGCGCGGAAATGAGGACGCGTAGCCTGACATAGCATGGCGTGGAGGGCTTCTGCGGCCCAAAAATCAACGAATCGACACCGAATGTGGAATTACTTCCGATGGTTCTTGGTGGCCATGTTTTTAATGTTGGGGCCATCTGGAAGGACCGAAAACCGTGCGGTGGCATGGCGCTGGAAGTAATGACGCCAGCGCTACAGCGGGAGCACGATTCGGAACGAGCGGAGGCGCGGAAATGAGGCCAGCGCTGCAGCGGGAGCACGATTCGAAACGAGCGGTCGCCCGAAAATAGAGCCAGCGCTTCAGCGAGAGCAGCATTTTGAACGAAAGCCCAAGCGCGGAAGCGCGGAAATGAGGACGCGTAGCCTGACATAGCATGGCGTGGCGACGCCCCAAAGTGGGGGGGGGCTTCTGCGGCCCAAAAATCAACGAATCGACACCGAATGTGGAAGCACGTCCGATGGTTTCTTCGGGCGGCCATTCTCTAAATTTTGGGGCCGATTTGGAAGGACCGAAAACCATGCGGTGGCATGGCGCTGGATGTAATGACGCCAGCGCTACAGCGGGAGCACGATTCGGAACGAGCGGAAGCGCGGAAATGAGGCCAGCGCTGCAGCGGGAGCACGATTCGAAACGAGCGGTAGCCCGAGAATGAGGCCAGCAGCGAGAGCAGCGCTTTGACAAACAACAAAAAAACGAAAACCCAACTCCCGAGAGTCCTGCGGAAAAAAACAGTGCGCGGAGGAGGGCCGAACAACCCCCGGACGTCACCAGGGGATGGAGGAGAGTGGTATTCATGTCTAAGTGTAGGAGGGATGCAGGGGGACAGGGAGAGAGGACCCCGACGACGACTCCCTCGCGAAGGGAGGGAGGGAGGGAGGCAGGGGGTGAGGCACGGAGGAGGAGCGGAGCCACGATGTGAAGGAGGGGAGGAAGAGAGGTAGGGAGAGAGGAGAGGGATGGAGGGAGGAAGAGGAGGAGGAGGACGAGGAAGAGAGGACGGGAGGGAGAGAGAGAGGGAGGGAGGGATATAGAGAGAGATGGACGAGGAAGAGGAGGACGAGGATGAGGACAAGGACGGCGCCTCCGCGATGGCAAGCAGACCGTGCAGCGTCTCCTGCGCTCGCAGCTCCGCGTCCAGCTCGACGCAGCGCTGGTGCCGCACGCCGATCGACGCGAAGATTGGCGGCGGCCCAGACTTCCCCTGGCGAGGAGGGGGATGGAGAGGGGGGCGGGACGACGGAGGAGGAGAATCGGGAAGGGGACCAGGAAGAGGATGGAGAAGGACCATGGCGGGGGAGGAGGAGGAGAGGGAGTAGAAGGAGAAAGAGGAGAACGGAGGAGGCAGGAGGAAAGGGAGGAGGAGGGAGAAGGCTTATGGATGAGGAGGGGATGAGGAGGAAGACGGGGTAAGGGGGTGATACTGATGATGTTGATGATGATGATGATGATGATGATGATGATGATGATGATGATGATGATGATGATGATGATGATGATGATGATGATGATGATGATGATGATGATGATGATGATGATGATGATGATGATGAGGGGAGGGAGGAGGGGAGGAGGAGAGTGGAGAAGGATGATGAATGAGGGGGAAAGTGGATAAGGAGGATGGGGCAGGAAAAAGAGGACAATGGAGTGGAGAAGGATGATGGCTGAAGGTGAAAGCGGATGAGGAGGAGGATGGGGAGGAGGAGGAGGAGGAGGAGGAGGAGCAGGAGGAGGAAAGGGAGGAGGAGGAGGAGGGAAAAAGACGTGAAGAGGGAGGAGGAGGAGGAGGAGGTGGAGGAGGGAAGAAGAAGTGAAGGAGTAGGAGGAAGAGGAGAAGGAGGAGGAGGAGAAAGAGGTGGAGGAGGACCACAGTGCACTCAGGATGCATCGATGATGCTGCAATACACCATCCTGTCCAGAGCTTCCTTCACTACAGGAAGGCGGCTCCCATTGAGAGACGAGGGCCCCAGTAGCTAGCCATTCAAGGAAGCCCCGTTTGGAAAAGGAATCGCAATCCATCGATCTAGCTATAAGAAGCGCCACGGAGTATACCAATATATATATATATATATGTGTACTAGAACCATCGCGCGCGTCGCGCGCGCTAGGTTCTAGCTGATCGATTGCTGACCGCATTCAGACAACAAGGCGGTCATGAATAATGAAATCAAAAGTATATGTTTCCTCCTGCCTCTTCCTCATTCTTCCGCCTCCGCTCTCATCGACCGGTCGACTGGTGATCTGTCACCAAGCTTCTTGGGGACCTCTTGACCCCTCCTGGGGGTCTCCTGGGGCGAAGATCTCGGGTTCTCGGTTCACGTTCCCGATAGTGGCCTTCGTTGGTTAGAGGCCCCTTGAAAGTTCGCTTGGAATTCGTGGAGGGCTTCCCGGGAGCCGCTTGAAGGCAGCTTTGGAGGCCTCTTGGGGGCCGTTTGGGGTGCTCGTGGAGCGTCTTTGGGGGCCCCTTTGGGGCCTCGTGGGGCCTCTAGGGGGCTACTAGTGGGCGATCTTGGGCGCCTCTTGGGCCGTCTTGGGGCACTCTTGGGCCGTCTTGGGACTCTCTTGCGACGTCGTGGCGCCCTTTTTGGGTGCTTCTTAGGCCGTCTTGAGCTGACTTCTGGGGCCTCGTGGGCTGTCTTGGACCGTCGGAAGCACGAAACAGCGAGAACACGAAAGACCTTCAAAAACAATCGAACTGATCTACTTGTTTCGCCTCCCGAGTGCCTCGTGGGAGTCCTTTTGAAGCCATCGTGGCCGTCTTGAAGCCCTCTTGGGCTGTCTTCAAGCCGTGTTGGACCAATTTTAGAGCGCTCTTGTGCGGTCTTGGGCTCTTTTGGAGCGCTTTTGGGCCATCTTGGCGCCCTCTTGGGCGTCTCTCGGCCCCCTTTGACGTTTTTTAGCGCCCCCCGCCGGGCCCGAAACGGCCGGAAGACAAATCAGTGCATTTTGGGTGCCCTGGGACTCCGACCCATACATATATATATAGAGAGAGATACATACATCTATGTGTTGTACATGTACATATACATATATACATATGTACATAGAATATATATATATATATATATACATACATAAAAATATGTATATGCATATATATATAATATATTATATATAATATATATATATATATGTGTGTGCTTATGTGTGCATGTATATGTGTAAATCGATGTGTATGTATGCCTTCACGTATACACTAACATGTGCATAACAGTATGGACACTTCAGACACCACATCAGAGCGAAGGTCTTGTCTGATAAAGTCTCCCTCTATGATCGTAGCTGGCGCACGCACTGACATCCTGACCATAGAATGCAAAACTCCCTGAAGAGGTCCCCGTGTTGAAGATAAATCGCCCTTCATCCGCGTTATGTGTTCACACTTCTGGCAACAGAGAATGATGGAAGCATCGGGACGAGATCCCCATGGGCTAGCCATTCAAGGAAGCGCGGTGCTGGAAAGGAGCCACCATCATCTCTCTAATGAGAAAAAGCGCCGCGGGTCATGGCCATGATTACCACAAACTAGCCTGGCGAAGGACCCAACCATATGCAGTTGTGAATGCCGCAATTGTGCTGGGTGGTGGCGGACGCATGCGGGCGGTGCCACTGGGACCTTCGGTGGAGCTCCCTATGGGGCCACGAAACGCTGTACTGGGTGGGCGAGACGCGGTCAGCAAGGGCTGTGCTGCGTGGTGGCGGACGCATGCGAGCGGTGCCACTGGGACCTTCGGTGGAGCTCCCTATGGGGCCACGAAACGCTGTACTGGGTGGGTGAAACGCAGGCAGGGAGCAAGGGCTGCGCAGGGTGGTGGCGGACGCATGCGGGCGGTGCCGCTGGGACCTTTGGTGGAGCTCCCTATAGGGCTACGAAGCGCTGTTCTGGGTGGGTGAAGCGCAGGGAACAAGGGCTGTGCTGGGTGGTGGCGGACGCAAGCGGGCAGTGCCACTGGGACCTTTGGTGGAGCCCCCTATGGGGCCACGAAACGTGCGAGGGGTGTGCCAGAATGGGGTGTGGAACCGCATGCCAGCGCAGCCACTGGGGCCTTCGGTGGAGCTCCCTATGGAGCCACGAAACGTGTGAGGGGTGTGCCGAAATGGGGGGTGGAACCGCATGCGAGCGCAGCCACTGCGGCGTTCGGTGGAGCTCCCTATGGGGCCACGAGACGTGTGAAGGGCGTGCCGAAAAAGGGTGTGGAACTGCATGCGAGCGCAGCCACTGGGGCCTTCGGTGGAGCTCTCTATGGGGCCACGAACCGTGTGAGGGGTGTGCCGAAATGGGGGGGGGAACCACATGCGAGCGCAGCCACTGGGGCGTTCGGTGGAGCTCCCCATGGAGCCACCCACGAAGCGTGTGAGGGGTGTGCCGAAATGGGGGGTGGAACCGCATGCGAGCGCAGCCACTGGGGCCTTCGGTGGAGCTCCCTATGGGGCCACGAAACGTGTGAGGGGTGTGCCAGAATGGGGGGTGGAACCGCATGCGGGCGCAGCCACTGGGGCCTTCGGTGGAGCTCCCTATGGGGCCACGAAACGTGTGAGGGGTGTGCCAGAATGGGGGGTGGAACCGCATGCGGGCGCAGCCACTGGGGCCTTCGGTGGAGCTCCCTATGGGGCCACGAAACGTGTGAGGGGTGTGCCAGACTGGGGGGTGGAACCGCATGCGGGCGCAGCCACTGGGGCCTTCGGTGGAGCTCCCTATGGGGCCACGAAACGTGTGAGGGGTGTGCCAGAATGGGGGGTGGAACCGCATGCGGGCGCAGCCACTGGGGCCTTCGGTGGAGCTCCCTATGGGGCCACGAAACGTGTGAGGGGTGTGCCAGAATGGGGGGTGGAACCGCATGCGGGCGCAGCCACTGGGGCCTTCGGTGGAGCTCCCTATGGGGCCACGAAACGTGTGAGGGGTGTGCCAGAATGGGGGGTGGAACCGCATGCGGGCGCAGCCACTGGGGCCTTCGGTGGAGCTCCCTATGGGGCCACGAAACGTGTGAGGGGTGTGCCAGAATGGGGGGTGGAACCGCATGCGGGCGCAGCCACTGGGGCCTTCGGTGGAGCTCCCTATGGGGCCACGAAACGTGTGAGGGGTGTGCCAGAATGGGGGGTGGAACCGCATGCGGGCGCAGCCACTGGGGCCTTCGGTGGAGCTCCCTATGGGGCCACGAAACGTGTGAGGGGTGTGCCAGAATGGGGGGTGGAACCGCATGCGGGCGCAGCCACTGGGGCCTTCGGTGGAGCTCCCTATGGGGCCACGAAACGTGTGAGGGGTGTGCCAGAATGGGGGGTGGAACCGCATGCGGGCGCAGCCACTGGGGCCTTCGGTGGAGCTCCCTATGGGGCCACGAAACGTGTGAGGGGTGTGCCAGACTGGGGAGTGGAACCGCATGCCAGCGCAGCCACTGGGGCCTTCGGTGGAGCTCCCTATGGGGCCACGAAACGTGTGAGGGGTGTGCCAGAATGGGGGGTGGAACCGCATGCGGGCGCAGCCACTGGGGCCTTCGGTGGAGCTCCCTATGGGGCCACGAAACGTGTGAGGGGTGTGCCAGAATGGGTGTGGGAGGGGGAGGAGGGGGGAGGAAGGGGAGGAGAAGGAAGGAGGAGGAAGGAGGAACGCGGGGCGACGTCTCTTCAAAACGAGGACCCAACACCACAGGATGGTTGGGAAAAAACATCAAGCGAGTGTGCCATTGAGTGTCCCCTCGACCAATGTACCTGTTGCGCACGCTTGCATCCGGGCCAGAAAATGCTAAACCCTGGGGAAATCTCCGCGTAGACAAAACGCTACTCATTCGTGATAGCTTGGCCGTAGGCATTACGGAAGCATCGAGAGAGCACACCATTTTCAGAAAGGCAAAGCCCTCCGTCCTTACTGTTAGATTGCTTAGCACGAAAGCGCGCTGCGCTAAAGCGAGACCCCCATTTTGAAAACGATCCGCCCTCCATCCGTGTACCTGGTAGAAACTTCGAGCTTCAGGGCGAAAATGGTTAGGAGGTCCCTGGCGAAACGTCCAGCCTGCCCTACCAAAACATGAGAGGGCACAGGAGAAGGGAAGAGGTGAGGGGGAAGAGGGAGGCGGACGACGACGACGACGACGACGACGACGACGACGACGACGACGACGACCACGACCACGACGACGACGACGACGACGAGACGGATGAGGAAAAGGAAAGGGATGAGGAGCAGAAAGGGGCGGGGAAGGAGGGGGGCGAGGAGGACAAAAGGGAGAAGGGGGCAGGATAAGGGGCGAAAACTACCCTTTTTTCATATTTTCCTATATAAAAATACTATTCCGTCGAATATGTATATATATATGTATACATACATACATACATACATACATACATACGTACATACATACATACATATATGAAACATATCATCGCTCACCCTCCACTGCTTCCTCCCCCTCCCCCCCTACTCCTCCCCCTTCCCCCTCCTCCTC